CAGGTGGGCAGGCCCCTTGTCTGTCTTATTTCCAAGTCTTCAGTGACTGGTAGCATATAGTATGTGCCTGATACAGACCCAGCCCTATTGTTATGGAGTTCACAGTTTAAAGAGTATAGCAGTATACTGTTAAAATTTATTATTATTATTATTATTATTATTATTATTTATTTATATTTGATACTGGGGATTGAACTCAGGGGCACTCAACCACTGAGCCACATCCCCAGCCCTATTTTGTATTTTATTTAGAGATAGGGTCTCACTGAGTTGCTTAGTGCATCGCTTTTGCTGAGGCCGGCTTTGAACTTGTGATCCTCCTGCCTCAGTCTCCTGAGCCGCTGGGATTACAGGAGTATACTACTCTGCCTGGCAAAATTTATTATTTTTAATTGTGGCAAAATATACCTAATATAGAATTTGTCATAGCTACTTTTTTGGAGGGGAGTATTTGGGATTGAACTTGGGGGCACTCAACTACTGAGCCACATCTCCAGCCCTTTCTTGTATTTTATTTAGAGACAGGGTCTCACTGAGTTGCTTAGGGCCTTGCTAAGTTGCTGAGGCTGGCTTTGAACTCGTGATCTTTCTGGTCAGTCTTCTCAACCACCAGGTGCTATGACCCTCACATCTGTTTTCGAGCTACTGCTATTAATTAAAGAGATACTGGAGAAGGGGTGAATGGGGGATAAAGAAAAGGCAAACAGACATACATAGGTAGAAAAAGCTGGGGCCAGGTGGATAGCTAAGCCCTAGTAAGGCTTGACTGACTCCGCAGCTAGCTCAGCCAGTTTATTATATCGGTTTTTATCATCAAAAGGTTAATTATGGAAAAGTTTCAGCAAAGCAGGCAATCTGAAGGACACAGGGCTGGGGAGACATTAGGGTCATCTTGTTTTGCTCAGAATCCTCTATCCCTTGGAGAAGGTGCTGAATTCAAGGCCTGGACTGATAGAGCCATGGTTTTAGCACATAACCACCCCTGGCTGGTGTTACCATAGCAATTGGGGCATCTTTACCTGTACCTTCCCACAGGCAGCTCCCATGTGCAAAGACAGCCACAAGAATCAGACAGGCCATGATTTAGATCACCGCTCTCCACAGTTGGAATTATAGGCATGTGCCACCATGCCCGGGATCTTAACTATTTTTAAATGTACAGTTTGATGACATTAAACACATTCATATCATTGGGTAACCACCCCATCCATCTCAGGAACTCTTATCTTTGCAAAACTGAAATTCTAGACCCATTATAAAAATCTCTCCATTCTCTCTGTTCTGCTTTCTGTCTCTATGAATTTGGCTGCTCTAAGTATCTCATATAGGTGGAATTGTACAGTATCTGTCCTTTTGTGACTAGCTTTTTTCAGTTAACATGATATCCTCAAGATTCATCCATATTGTACTCTGTTTCTTCCTTTTTTTTTGGCATTAGGGATTGAACCCCAAGGTGCTTAACAACTGAGTCACATTCCCAGCCCTTTTTATTTTTTATTTTGAGACAGAATCTCACTAAGTTATTGAGGCTGGCCTCAAACTTGTAATCCTCCTGCCTCAGTCCTGCAAGTGACTGGGATTACAAACATGAAGACATGAGACATCATGTCCATTTTATCTTTAGTCTTTTGAGTAATAACCAAAAATAGTGGCTCCACCATTTTACATTCCTACTAATATAACACAAAGGTCCCGATTTCTTCATATGGCATTGTAGGCAGGAACAGGGCAGAAATAAATGCACCTTTTTTTCTTTGTTTTGATAGTAAATATCCTCATGGGTTTGAAGTGGTATCTCATTTGCTATAATTAGGATGAGATTTGAGTGTGTCCCCCAGGGGTTCATGTATGGGGAGCTTTGTCCCCAGTGTGGTGGCATTAAGAGGTGATGGAACCCTTAAGAGGTGGGACTTACTGCAAGGTAATTAAACCCCTGGGGGCGAGGCCCTGGAGGGAGTAATGTCGTTCTCCTGGGACCCCAGTTAGTTCCCACCAGAGGGCTGTTATAAAAGAGCAACATGGCCCCTTTCTGCTCTCTGGCTCCCTGTCTTACCATGTGATCCTTCTTGTACATTCCCCTGCAATGATGCTGTCCCTGTGATGCCATGATGTGACATAGCCAAGGGGTCCTGACTGGAAGCTCAATTGAATTAATGGGGCCTCTCAATCTTGGGCTTTCAGCCTCCAAAATTGTGAGCTAAATAAATCCACTGTCTTAAAAAAGTGCCCAGCTCCAGGTATTCTGTTATAGCAATGGCAAAGGGACTAGTACCCCACTGTGGCTCTCATTTGCATTTCCCAATTGATTAGGTTACACATTTTGGAGGAAACATGTTTTCTGGGAATGGAGGGAGGGAAGGCTCTTAGCTCCACTGGTCTCAAAGTACTCTTTTGAGACTGAAGCTTAAAAGAAGAGAAGGAGACAGCCAGGGAGATCTAGAGAAAGAATGTTTCAGAGAGAGGGTGCAGGGCTGAGGGTGTAGCTCAGTGGTAGAGCATCTGCCCAGCGGTGCAGGGCCCTGGGTTCCATCCCCACCACCACAAAAAATAAATTCAATAAATCAAAGAGAGGAAACAAAGTGCACAGGCCCTGAAGTGTGAGTCAGGGCTGCATATTTTGCTAGGGGAATATGAATAAGCAAGGAGGGGGGGTGACAGTGGGGTGGTTTGATAGGAAAAGGCACTTGTATTTGTAATTTCTAGTAAGCACTGGTTTTCTCAGGTCTGAAGGGGACAGAGGAACCGATGGTCCAAAAGACAGGGACTGATGGGTAGTGATAGGATGTCTCTGTGGCAGGGAGGGTGGTGTTTTTTTCCTATAATTTTTTTTTTTTAAGTTGTTGATAGACCTTTATTTTACTGATTTATTTCTGTGGTGCTGAGAATTGAACCCAGTGCCTCACACATGTCAGGTAAGCCCCAGCCCCAGCCCCAGGGAGGGTGGTGTTCATGGAGGGGGTGTGCAGTGTGCTCTGGAGAACCCCAGCGCCCCAGGATCACCATGTGATCTCTCCGCCCCGCCTTTTTAAAAAAAATTTAAACCAGAAGTTCATTTAAACAAGATTCTTGAATTGAAGGGAAAACGATAAAGTCATAAAATTGCCAGGTGCAGTGGCACAGGCCTGTAATCCCAGTGGCTCAGGAGGCTGAGCCAGGAGGATCATGAGTTCAAAGCCAGGCTCAGCAACTTAGCGAGACCCTGTCTCTAAATAAAATATAAAAAACGGGCTTGGGATGTGGCTCAGTGATTAAGTATCCAAGCGTTCAATTCCCCATACAAAAAAAAAAAAATGTCCTTAGTCTTACATTGATAAATTAAAAATATTAAAAGTTTTCAATCATGCTGGGATCTCTAAGAACACATTGTGCCCCATCCTCCTGGCTACAATGCCATTGGCTAACCCAGCCATTGTTCCCTGCCGTCTACCACCAGCCTGGGACCAGAAAAAGGGATCTGGAACCTATATCTAGGGGCTGAGACGGGATGCCCAGAATGACTACCAAAGCCTTGGAAGGTCTGGAGACAAGGGCTTGCAGGCTGAGGCCCCAGAGGACTCCACGCCCCACCTGTACCAGGCTGCAGGGGATGCTGGGCCCTGGCTGAGCAAGGCACTGTTGGAGTACCAAAAAGGGCCACACGGGGGCAGGAGGGTTCGCGGAGCTGTGTGTTGGAGGAGGAAGTGGAGAGCAGAGAGGAAAAGAGGGGTGGACAGAGCCTGGGAAGGTCTGGGGGAGTTATCTGTGGGACTTTGTGATTTGGTCGTTTCTGTGTGAGAGAAGAAAATGAAATCACGAGCTCATTGCTATCCCAATGGCGTCTTATTTCATCCTCACAACAGCCCCACAGGCCCAGAGAAGTAGAGCCATAAAATGTCCAAGGTCACTCACAGGGGGATTCAGACTAGGTGTGGCCATCTCTCAACCTGTGATCCAATTTTAATTGGCTGCATACCACTCTAGTGTATCAAGATCACACGATTTCTGAGCAGACACAGGGGAGCACCCTGGAATCCCAGTTACTCACGAGCCGGTGCTCTAACCACTGCCCCATCCTAACACCATGACAACAGGCCCCTTTTTCTGACCTAATTATATCTAGCAGGCTGGCAGGACCCTTGCCTCCTTCTGGGGTCCCTGCTGACTCTTCTCTGAGCATTAGGCCCTAATCCCAAAGACAGTGACCTAGGGTAGAACAAGGTCCCCCTAAAAAGCCCAACTCCTGGTTCTCCCAAGAGTGTGACTGTGATCAGCTCTGGAGGACAAAATATGGTCGAGACCTTTGAACAGAGGCCCTGAGAGGAGCAGGAGTCACCTAGTGTCATGCAATGAGGTAGGACTGAGGCCCTACTTACTTTTATCCAGAAAGGACTGGATAACCCCAGAAAAGGGAATCAGTAATACATATTCCCTCAGGTTGGAGATTTAGGGGTTCAGAGGGCAGTCATTGGCCTCCTGTTTCAGAATGCCCTCTCTGACCATCCACTCTGCCCCCAAAGTCAGAAATGGCCTCAAGCTCTCTTGATGCTCCCTGTCTGGTCATAGAGGCTTAAAGTTCATTCTAAGCTTCCTTTTAGGACCTCAATCCATTTTGCTGTCCAGCCTAGAAACTCTTCTCAAATTCTCCTGGCAGTGGGCTGCCCATCTTGCAAGCCTCCTGTGATGGGGAGCTCACTGCCTTAGAAGGCAGCCTGTTCATTGGAGAGCAGCTTCTAGAGCCTTCTTGTGCTGCCCAACCATGGGAACTAGCTCACCTGCTGGAACACAGAGCAAGTGGCTGCCCTTGGCTGCATCCAGGCCCCAGATGGCTACAGAAGGGCCTGCGTGTCCCCACACCTATGCCAGACTTCTTTCCTGGTCCCTGTTCTGCATAGATAACTTGTCTAGTTCTTCATCTCCTGGGCAGTTTGCCCCTGGGCCCCTGGGTATTCTGTTTGTTGGGGTTGGTCTCTTCTGGGGTAACTGTTTTATTCAATACATTAAAAAAAATGTATTTGTTACAGGGAAAGGTGACCACCACCTAAAGACACTCCTTGGGCCTCTTCTTCTAAACTGACACCAACGTGTGTGCTGGAGTGAGAGGCAAAAGCAAGGTGAACTTGAAGCTGGTGGTAGGCGGACCTGGCCTCACCCTGCCCTCCCTCCTTGTCTCACTGAAGTATCTCCCCAGGTCGGGATGGTACCTGGGACTTGAGACCCTTTCCTACGGCCTATGTGGAGGAGGGGTTCCAGGCAATTTGAAGGGCCATTTGGTTATAAGACAGGCCTTCTCCAGAAGGCTGAGGATTGGGACAAAGAGGATGTCACACTTCTGATGATAAAGAATTCCTTCCCAAGGGCCATGCTGGAAATAGGGCAACCTTCCCCAAGCACTGCCTTCCACAGGCTCCCAGCATCCCCTGGCTCTCACCCTCTACCCTCTTCCTCCTCCTAGAGCCTGGCCAGGCACCCAGGAGCAAGGCAAGCCCGGGTCCCCAGGCAGGGGAATCAGAGCAAGTGAAGGCTGCAGCCCTGATCATCCCAAGACCCCACGCAAGATCCAGGTATGCAGGGGCTGGGGATGTGGCTCAAGTGGTAGTGTGCTCGCCTGGCATGCGTGCGACCCGGGTTCGATCCTCAGCACCACATACCAACAAAGATGTTGTGTCCGCCGAGAACTAAAAAATAAATATTAAAGTTCTCTCTCTCTCTCTCTCTAAAAAAAAAAAAAAAAAAGATCCAGGTATGCCCCAAACACTCCCCTTCCCATATGTCAGTCATGTGGGATTGCTGATGAAACACATTTTCCTTTCTTTCTGTTCCGGGGGGTTGAACCCAGGGCCTCATGCACTGAGCTATATTCCTAATCCTTTTAATTTTATTATTTTATTTTATTTTGATACAGGGTGTCCCCAGGCTGCTGAGGCTGTCCTTGAACTTGTGATCCACCTGCCTCAGCCTGAGATTACAGGCATATGCCACCATGCCCAGCTCATATAATTTTGGATATATATCAAAGCAAGTTACAGATATCAATATACTTTACCTCCCAAACATTTCAATCTGTATATGATCAACTAAAGTTCAGTCATTTTGAATGATTATTTTTTGAGGCAGAATTATATATGGTGAAATGCACAAATTTAAGAATACCATTTGTTGAATATTTTGCGGGGAGGTACCAGGGATTGAACCTCAGAGGAGCTTCACTACTGAGTTACATACCAAGTCCTTTTAAAAAATTCGAGATAGGGTCTCACTATGTCACCCAGGCTCCCTTAAACGTGAGATCTTCCTGCTTTGGCTTAACAAGTTGCTGGGATTCTAGGCATTTAATCTGAATTTTGACAAAGGCATGCATTCACATACTCCAGTCCCTGTCAAGATATAGAATATTTCCGTCACTCCAGAATGTTTCCTAGTTGCCCTCTCACCCCTGTGTGGTCCCAAGCACTGCCTACTATTCTGTTTGCTTTCTACAATACCTTAGTTTTGCCCATTCTAGAATGTTGTAAAAATGATATCCAACACCATCTACTCTTTTGTGTCTGGTTTATTTATCTTTATTTTATTATTATTTTTTTGTACCAGGGATTGAACCCAAAGGAGCTTAATAAAAAAGCCACATCCCCAGCCCTTTTTTATTTTTTATTTTGAGACAAGATCTTGCTAAGTTGCTTAAGTCCTCACTAAGTTGCTGAGGCTGGCTTTGAACTCGTGATCCTCCTGCTTCAGTGTCCTGACCTGCTGGGATTTAAGGTGTGCGCCACCATGTTTATTTTATTCAGCACATTTTGGAGAATCACCCGTTACTACATATGTTTGTAGTTTGTTGCTTTTTATCACTGAGTGTGTAATCGTTCGTTCATCCATTTGCCCCTTGATGGACACCTGTGCTGTTTCTATTTTGGGGCCATTATACATAAAACTGCTATGAACATTCTGGTACAAGTCTTTGTGTGAACATGTGTTTTCATTTTTCTTCAGTACTTATAGATGGAATCTCTGGGTCAGAGGGCAGGGGTATGCTTAGTTTTACAAGACATTATCTGACCTCTTTACAAAGAGGTTGTAGCATTTTATACCACCACCAACAAAGGAGGATCTCTGCTACTGAATTCTCAGCTCAGAACACAATGGGGTTGTCACCTCCACCGTTCAGGATGCCACACCTTGCTGAAGGTCATAATAACAGGGTTGGCTGCAGTTGCCCTGGCAATCAACTGGATACCGCAGGCTGTTTCTCATGGACAGATGAATGGATGGCTGCCCAGCCAGATCTCCTTGACCCTGAACTTGTATAATTGCTTTGTTGGAACCTGAATGTCAGCTTTTGCATTTGCCCTCATTAAATCCCATCTTGTTGGTTTTGAGTTAACCCTCCAGCTGAGAATCATGAGGATACTCCCAGACATGTCCCTTGTGCCAGACACTAGGGTGACTCATTCATACTTCACCACCTATGGAGCAGCTGCCATTATCCCCATTTCAGAGAGGAGGAAATTGAGGCACAGAGAGGTTAAGTAACTTGTCCAAGTTAAACTTGTCCAGTAGTAAAGGGCAGAGGCAGACTTAGAACCTAGGTAGTTTGGCTCCAGACATTGTGGTCTTAACCACTCACCCTTTTGTCTCTGTTTTCTGATGTCATCTCCCTCCATTTTCCAGTTTATGAAAACACACTGAGTTTCACTATATTTTCATCCAGGTTAAAAAGCAGCAAAACCAGCTGGGTTTCGTGGTGCATGCCTATAATCCCAGTGGCTTGGGAGGCTGAGGCAGAAGGATGGAAAGTTCAAAGTCAGCCTCAGCCAATTAGTAGGGCCCTAAGCAACTCAGCAAGACCTTTGTATGTAAATAAAAAATTTAAAAAAGGGGTAGGGGTGCTGGCGTTGTGGCTCAGTGGTAGTGAGCTTGCCTGGCATGCATGAGGCACTGGGTTTGAATCTTGGCACCACATACAAATAAATAAAATAAAGGTCCATCAACAACTTAAAAATATTTAAAAAATGTTTGTGTGTGTGTTTTTTTAAAGGGCTGGGGATGTGGCTCATTGGTTAAGCACTCCTAGGTTCAATCCTTTCTACCAAAAACAAAACAAAAAATCACCTATGCACTGCACAGTCCAGGGCCAAGGACAGAGTCTGATGGCATTTTGCAAGAGACTGCCCTTTGCACCAGCCTTGTTCTAGTTTGTCCATGACTTTTTTTTTTTTTTTTTTGGTACTGGAGATTGAACCCAGGGGCTGTCAACCACTGAGCCAAATCCCCAGCCCTTTTAAAAATATTTTATTTAGAGACAGGTTCTTGCTGAGTTGCTTAGGGTTTCACTAATTTGCTGAGTTGGTTTTTTTTTTTTTTAAAGAGAGAGTGAGAGAATTTTTAATATTTATTTTTTAGTTCTCAGCGGACACAACAACTTTGTTGGTATGTGGTGCTGAGGATCCAACCCGGGCCGCACGCATGCCAGGCGAGCGCGTTACTGCTTGAGCCACATCCCCATCCCTGAGTTGGTCTTTAAACTTTCCATCCGTCTGCCTCAGCCTCCCAAGCCACTGGGATTGCAGGTGTTCGCCACCACGCCTGGTTTTCTCTACCGCTGGACGTTCCTTCTCAGTCTCCCTTGTGTTTCTCCACTTGTGCCATCTCTTCATGTGGGGGCCTCAGGGACCACTGGTGGTCCTCTGATACTCACCTTCTCATTTTAGCTCTGGCTCAGGCTTTCCTGCCTGCCTCCCTGACCTTTCTGCCTGCACAGCCAATTGACACCTCACTTGCCTCCTGCCTGGTCTCCAGGTTTCAGCCCTGAGCCCTCCAGTCTCTCCCCAACCGAGCAGCCAGAAAGACCCCTTTAAAAACAGGAGTCAGATCAGGTCAACTGTTTGTTCCAAACATTCTGTGGCTCCCTATATCACCAAGAGTCAAAGCCACAGTCCTCACAATGGTCCACAGGGCCCTCCATCATCTGGCCTCTGCTACCTCTCTGTCCTCATCTCCTACATCCTTCCCCTTGCTCCATGCTATTCCATGAACTTGTCCGGCACATTTGTGCCTCAGGGCCTTTGCACTGGCTCTTCTTGACTGAAATGTTCCTCCATCAGATGTGTGCATGACAAAGTCTCTTATCTCTTTGTCATCTTTGCTCAAAGTTTAGGGTTTCAAAGTGTCTCCCAGTAGCACTCTATTTAAAGTGGCAACATCTCACCTGTCTATCTCCTGACCTCTTGTTGCTGCTCTATTTTCCCTTTAGCATTTACCACAGTGTATAATATCATAAATGTCACTTATTTATCATGCTTATTGTTTGCTCTCTCCCCCCACCTCTTCTGGAAGCATCATTCAGAAGGGCAAGAATTTTCATCTGTTTTGTTTCCTGATATGGGTCACCTAGAATTGTGCTTAGTACATACGAGGGTTCAATATATTTTTGTTAATGAGTGAAGGAAGAAAGGAAGCATGATAATTATGGAATGAATATCCAATCTAAAAAGGAATTAGAGGCTGGGGACATGGCTCAGTGATACTGCATTTGCCTGGCATGCATGAGGCTCTGGGTTCAATCTTCAGCACCACACACATAAAAAAATTAGAACCCATAAAATATGGTGCCTGGCATGGTCAGTGTCTTGGACATCAGAGCCATTGGCTGTGCAGTGGCCAGTCCCATTTCCTGGTGACTTTTCCTTGCAGGTGCCTCCCCCACACCATCAATTCATGTGGATGGCCTGAGATTCACTGCAGTCCTCACTGCAAGGTGGCAGTGACCCTTTAAGTCACCAAGATGGTTGGAGGACTGGGTACATTTCCCTGGACTGGTGAGATTGAGTCCTGAGACTTGCTCGTGTGTTGGGATGGGTAGGGCGTCTTCCTTCAGAGCTGGAGGTAAACTCAGCTACCTGGATGCTGCGTTGGAAGAACCTGCCTGGAAAGGAAGCCAGGGCACTGGAACAAAGGGCTATAGATCCGAGGACGGAAGCTGCCTCTCCTCCCAGGCTTGACTTTTCATTTACTTGAGCCCCTCTTCAAGGAAGGCAGTTTGACTTGGGCTTCTGTCTCTTGCCGCCCCTTACACTGTAGCCCCTGATCCCGAGCTCCTGAATCAGGGAATGAGCCAGGGGTGGGAAAGGCCTGTCGGGGTGTGTGGGCTGGATGGCCTGTGGTAGCTCCAAGTGAAGGGGACTGAGGGCACTCCCTTATCCATCTGGGATGGAAGCTGGCATGGAAACAGACCTGCCTCCTTGAGGGCTCCCAAGTTATCAGGGGAGGATGTGGAAACTAAAGGGGCCAAGACAGATGGAAAGATCCTGCTACTCCAGAGCAGCAAGGGAAGCTAAGATGGATTCTGCCCAAGCTTGGGGTGGGAGGTAGGATCAGGAAATCTCTCCCCATCCGTCAATGCAGGGCAAGAGCCCAGTTAAAGTGGAGTGTGGGCTCTGCCACATGCTAGAAGAGAGTTCTGGGGTAAGTCACTTAAGTTTTAGCAAACAATAGTGTCCCTAAACATAAAACAGGATGAATAATGTCCACCTCATAGAGTTATTTTAAGGACAGAATGGGATAAGCGGGTCGAGAATTGAGCATGGGCCCGGCCCACAGGTTTAGTAAGTCAGTGCCTATTACCTTGCGCAGGTGTTCCGCCTGGCCAGGGATTCTGTTGGTACAGGTGCAGTTACTGTCGTCACCAGGAGGTGGCGCCCCGGCCCCAAAAGAGCCTTATTTGCTCGACTTTTTGCGGGGCTCTGTGAAAGGTTTGGGCGGGGTCGCCTCTTGGATCTCAGTCCGTTAGACCCCTACCTTCCCGGGCGTGGTGGGGCGAAGTGCTTGTACTCCCCTCAGTTATCTATGGTCGCTGGCTCCTGGAAGGGGAGACCTCGGTCACCATGGGACAGTCAGAGGAGCCTTCGTTTTCCATCCGTGTTATGTAAGAGCACAACCTTCAGGGAGCGCCGGGGCAAAGTTTAGGGTGCTTTGCTCAGGGTGGACGAGAAGAAGGACTTCCTGAAGGAGCGAGCATCACAACACGGAGGCTGGAGCGCGGGAGCGTCTGAGCCTGGTGCTGAGGCAGGGGGATGACCCATCTGACCTTTCTCAGTGCAAGGGAGCCGGGCTGCCCCTCGCGGTGGACCTCCGGCAGTGGATGGCCCCTTGATGCGGTCACTGGTAATTCTAAGATCTGCCAGCAGAGGGACACAGAGAGACGCCCGCGCCGATCCGCTCTCCTCCCCGCCTGAGCTAGCCCTCCCGGGAAACTTCCCTGCTTGGCAGAGCCTGCCTGGGCGAGACCCAACGTGTCAGGTGTCCTTAAGCTCTGGAAGAAGACTTGCCCTTCTTCCTCCTGCTGGGCTTCTTGGGGAGAGCATTTTAGGTGAGGGGAGGGTCAGCTCCCATCCTAACTCAGCCCTGGCCCAGCTGAGCTCCACCCTAAGTAGGACTTGCTGGCCATTCCAGTCTAGAAACTCAGAAATCCTAGGACAGGTGGGACTACCTCCCAGAGGCAGGGGTTTGGGAGGGGGCCCCCTGCCACCCTGGCCTGGATCGCCAGCTGGACCTCAGGAAGTAGGGGGTGCCCACCCCATACCACCTTGGCTAGTTCCCGGCATTCTCCTGGACAGGCTCCCAGAGGCCCACAAAGGCCCTCAGATGAAGTTCTGAGCCTTGCATTGCTGTGCCCTGGGCCAGCGTCCTGCTGGCTCTAGGCACCGCAAGTCCCTGGCACTCCCTGTAGAGCTTTGTCCACCAGCCCTGAACCAGGGCCGGTGGGGCCATGTTTGCTGGGGGAGGAGTAGTCAGGCATCCCTCAGAGCTGGGGCAGTCTCCCTTCTGTCCTGCCTGTGGCTTTGCTGTCTTCCAGATGACCAGCCCCTCATTTCTCACTTGCTGGCCCTCACCACCAGGGTGATCTGGAGGAAATGGTCTTTCCTCCTCACATGCCCTCCTAGCTGACCCAGGAGTCAGTGGTGGGTAATGTCCTCATTTGTAGACAATACCATGAGGCTCCAAGGACTCCCTGTGGCCTGTGGCTCCCTGCAGAAGTTTCTGACAGCACGACTTTCTTACTGCAGCCCTGATGCCTACTGTATGCTGGCCCTGGGCTCCAGTGGATCTGTACACTCAGGAGTGAGAAGGGCTCCTGCCTTCATGAAGCATCCGTGTGGTGTTATATGGGCTTTGGAGAGGAAGCCAAGGCACTGCATGGCCCTGCAGGGCTGTCCGCCCAGCAAGGGACACTTCCTCAGAGAGGTCTTCCTTGACCAGCTATCAAACAGCCCCTCTGACTAGGTGCTGTCACACCTTCATGTTTTGTTTGTTTCAAAACCCTTTTGGGATCTGTATTCATCTTCCTTACCTGTGGATGGTTCATTATCTAAGTACCTTCTGCATACCAGGTTCATTATCTAAGTACCTTCTGCATACCAGGCACAGCTGTAGCCCCTAGGTGACACGGAAGTGAAAGAACAAATTTCTTATCCTCGAGGGCTAGGGCTGTAGCTCAGTTGTAGAGCACTTGCCTGGCACCTGTGAGACACTGGGTTCGATCCTCAGCATCACATAAAAATAAATAAATAAAAATAAAGGTATTGTGTATTTTTAAAAAATTTCTTATCCTTGGGCTGGGGTTGTAGCTCAGCTGTAGAGTGCTCTCCTAGCATGTTGGAGGTGCTGGGTTGGATCCTCAGCACCACGTAAAAATAAATGAACAAAACAAAGGTATTATGTCCAATTATGAAAAATATTAAGAAAATATTTAAAAATATTTCTTATCCTTGAGAAACTTTCAGTCTAGTGAAGGGCATGGTGGTGGGGAGGCAGCCAGCCAGAGAAAGCAAGGAAACATTCAATATCTGAACATGTGTTATGGAGGAATAGAGGGCAGGGAAATGGGAGATTTGGGGGAAGGAGAGAGTGGTCTTTTAGGGGCAGTAGTCAGGGAAGGTGACATTTGAACAGAGAACTGACAGGAGGGAGGGGTGAGCCATTCAGACACACAGAAGTAGTGTTTCTGACAGAGGAGAAGCAAGTTCAAAGGCCCTGAGGTCAGCGTGTGCCTGGTGTGAGGAGGGAGAGGAACATGCGTGGCTAGAGAGGAGCGGGCCAATTGTGTAAACCTTTGTATCTGGTGTGAAGTGTGAAGACTTGGTGTGAATCTGAATGATGTGGGAACAATTTGAGCATTTTTTTTCTGGTACCAGGGATTGAACTCAGGGGCACTTGACCACTGGGCCACATCCCCAGCACTTTTTTGAATTTTATTTAGACACAGGGTCTCACTGAGTTGCTTGGCTCCTTGGTTTTGCTGAGGCTGGCTTTGAACTTGCGATCGATCCGCCTGCCTCAGCCTCTTGAGCCGCTGGGATTACAGGTGTGCCCCACCGCACCCAGCCATTGGAGCATTTTGAGCAGGGGATTTCAAGGCTCTGCTTCCATTGCCGGACACCTTGGCTCCTGTGTGGGGAATGCTGGTAGCAGGGCTGGGTGGGAGCAGGGACCAGGTAGGAGGCTTCACCTCTAATGTCAGCCTCTCAGGATCTGACCAGAGTTTGGTGTGGGAGGAAGGAAGGGTGCCAGGGTTTTGGCATGAGCCAATGGAAGGGTGGTGGTGACATTTATGAGGAAGAGGAGGGCCAGGGCAGCTGAGTTGGGGGCTAAGTGAGGGACTTCTTAGCACTTGGGAATCTGGGTCTGACCTCTGTGCAGGGGTCAAGGCTGGAAAGTCATGTGCTAAGACTTAGTAGGGCTCAGCTGGGCTCCGAAGCCAGGGTGGCCTCAGCCTGGGGAGAGTGGGCTGGAGAAGTCCAAGGTCTGAGCCTCCAGGTGCTCTGGCACTTGGAGGTCAGGGAACAAAGAGGCATAGCCAGGGAGGCCGAGGGAAGCATGATGGCGAGAAGTCCAGAAAACAGAGGAAGCAAGTGTTCCAAGGAGGAGGGGGCTGCCTCTCTCAGACACTGTGGGAAACTTAGCACGAGGTCTGCAGGTTGAGTTTTGGATTTGGCATCGTGGCCCACCAAGCACACCACACCTAGCACCTTTGTCCTGAGCACCAGAAAACTGGTGTCATTCCATGTGTACCTTTTTCTATAGACATCTGGACGGCAGATACCTCGGTGTAAAGAAAGAGACATCCCTGCTTGGTAGATAGAGCCCTGCACCAGGGCACGCGGCCTGGCGAGAAGATGGCAGGCTGGGGCGCAGCTCCCTCTCTTCCTCCCTGCAGCCTAGGCGCCCCAGGGCAGTGTCCAGCCTGCACACCTGCACTCAGCAGCTGTGTTGGCTGTTGTGATACATGGTGTTGGGGAGTGTGCTTGACTAGGGGCATCAGATCAGTTCCTTCAAGAGAGAGGAACTGGAGACAGTGGGCATGGACAACTTCATCAGGGAGCTTTGCCATAATGAAGAAAGAGAAACAGGACAGTAGCTGGAGAGTCCGGAGGAAGTAGGCAAGGGAGGGTGGGCGAAGGGAGGGCATCCCAGGCAGGGAACTGCGCAAGCAAAGTGAGGTCCTTAGAAATGGCTGGAGGGACAAAGGTGGGAAGGTCCTAGACATCAAAGTGAGGTAGGAAGTGTCAGGAGAGGGCAATGGAAAGGTGAGTTGGAGCCCTTATCTGTGGGTGCTGAGGGTGGGGCAGGTCTGTACACATTGTGGGTGCTCACTGGACACTCCCAGGTTTGGCTTTGTTTGATGGAAGACTGGAGCACTGGGTGTTTTAGGGGCCTCTGAGACAAGCCTCCCCTGGGCCCAGGGATGGACCTAAGATGAGGTCCTTCAGGTGGGCCTCAGGTTCTGGCCTCCTCTCCTCCCTGAATGTCCCACCCTGCTCAAGCTGAGGATGAGCAGGAGGCCCTGCCTGGGCCTGGGGAGCAGGAGGTCAGGTAGAAAACTATGGTGGGCTGGAGCTGTGCCTCGGCCTCTGCCCAGGGGTGCTGGCTGCTCCCAATGCAGCCAGGGCCCTCCATACCTCTCTGTGCTCTCCCCAGGGACCATAGGCCAAGCAGTGAACCATGAAGGAGGTGAGAGTGTGTGATCTTTACTCCACCTCCAACACCTGCTTCCTGAGACCCCCTCAGATGAGGAGGTGAGGTGGGGCAGAAAGGGAAGTCACTTGGAGGAATGGGCCACCCGCTGACTCCTCTTTCCCTGGAGGGCGCTGAGGAATAGGGTGCACTTGGGTAGGGGACACTGACCCCATCTCTTTCAAGTAATTGCAAGGAATGAGAGCAAGGTTCTTGCCTCCCTGTGGCACCAGGGAGCTCCCCTACAGAGTCCACTGTGGCCCCTAGACAGTCCTTTGAGCCAGTTCCACTGGAAAGAGGGGTAAATGAGGTTCAGGGAGGGCCATAGCTGCCCATGGCCACACAGCCAGGAAACGCAGAGGCCACACTCGATCCTAAGCAGTCTTGTCCCAACCCAATCCCACAAGAGAGGGCCTATTACCATCCTTAGAGGGCAGATGAGCAAAGAAACCCAGAAAGGTGGTGCAGTTATGACTTGAGGTCATGGGTCCCGCGGGGAGGAGTGTGGAATCAGAGCTCCATCACCTCTACTTCCTGCCACAGCCAATCCTCCTTGCCCTCCTTGCCTGCAGGGAACAACAGGGAAGCTATGACTCTCTGGGCCCTTCAAGAAGACCCTGGGCACCTGAACAAAGAGTGCCCCTGTTGTTTCAGGGCTCTGGAGAATATCTAAGGGTTTGCTGGGCAATGCAGGGGTGTGGTCTGGGTGCTTTCTCAGCTGCCCTGCTGTGTCCTTAGGTTCACCTCCTGGGACCTTGAGCCAATGATTTATGTTCTTGAAGCCTCAGTTTTCTTATCTGTAGACTGGGTTGTAGGAGTGTTTTGAGGGTCAAATATGAGCGCCCAGTGTGAACTCTGGCATGTGGCAAATGCACAGTTAGTAGCAGAGGTGACCGTGGTTGCCGAAACCCCAGCTCCAGCTCTCTCCAGGGGAAGATTAATCACAGTTTAGACACTTCCTGAATACGACAGATATGCCTCATAGGCCAGCAAATCCTCTCTCGTTCCCTAAGAAGAAAATCCTGAAATGCCTGTGTGTTCCTACATGAGGGATCAGAGAAGGCTTCCTGGAGGAAGGGGCCTTTAAGCAGGCATTTGAGGTTCAGATCACTGACCACAGCAGGATCAAGGCCCCCCAGGCAGGGAATGGAATGTTTGCAAAGGACTGGAGAAGGGAAGGACCTGGATGTGGTGAATAGCCTCTGGGGGCTGAAGTAGGGAGAGTTGGGAATTGGGTTCCTTGTGGACAGGGCCTGACTCCAACCTGATTTCCCTTTTCCCAGGGTCTGGGCTGGCTTAGCCTCTCCTCCTACCTGCCAGCCCCTAGGCTCCTTAGATTCCCATGGTTGGGGGCACTTTAATATTTCTCTGAGAGGTGGGATCTTGCTCTGTCAGAGCCTTACAGTCAGAAAGTTCTTTCTAGTGTCTAGTCGAAGTACATTCTGGCCAACCTTCTTTGGAGCTGGAGGCCTGGGGTGAGGGGGAGTGCTTCAAGGTCATGACTAGCTATGGGGTAGAGTCCCTAGGGCAGGTGCCTTGGTTTGTGGTGTCCACAGCCCAGAGCACTCTCTCCATATCACCTATCTGCCTAGTTTAGTGTCCCCTGATCTGGCACCCGGACTTGCATACTTGGTTGGCCATTCCTCACCCCCCACTTCCCTCAGAGTCTCTCTCCTTTGTCTCTCTTCTGCCCCTCCTCTCCAGCTCTGTCCCTAACTCCCCTTGTCACCCCATGCTCCAAGTCTGTTTCTAGCTCTGTGTGTTCCGGAAGTCTCAAGGGCTCAATTTTCCTTTCTGAGATCCTCCACCTTACCCCCACACTCCCCACTCCTCCCTTGTGGGTTCCAGGGTGGAAGGATGGGGGAAGGATGGAGGGCAGGAGTCAGTCGATGAACGGACCCCTGGGGGGAGGGCAACGGCCTGTCCCCTCCTTCACCTGGAGAGGGGCAGGACAGGCCACACTGTCTCAGGGTCTGAGGCTGGAGGGCCCTGTCGAGGGGGTGGTGGTTAGGTCTGCTCGGGGGTTGGGGACAGCGGGGCCCGGCGGGGCTAGGAGGGGGCGGAACCTCGCGGTGGTCCCCTCCCCCTCTTTCTTAAAGGGCCCAGCGCGGCGCTGTGCGGGACTGGGTTGGTCGCGCCCTCCCCAGCCAGGCCCCCCGGCACAAGGTCGAGCGCTGGGTGCCCTGGCGCCGCGGGCGGACCAGCCGGGTGGCCGCCGTCACCTCCCGGCTCCGCGCCCGCCTGCAGTCCCCCCGCCCTTCCCCGCCCTTCCCGCTCCTCCCTCCCTTCCCTCTCCTTCGTTCCCTCCCTCCTGCCGTCCGTCCCCCCATCTCTGCTTAGCTTCTCCACAGCCGAGGCTCCGGCACCTGAAGGGACAGTAGCGGGAGCGGGGAGCTCCGACAGGCGGCCGCGGAGCGGGACGGTCAGTCCACTGGCGGCCTCCGCATGGCCCCGCCGTGAGAGGCTGGACCCAGCGACTGGGACCGGGAGCGGTGAGTGGGGCCGCGGGGCCAC